ATCATATTAGATAAGTATAATTAAGTTTGAAGTCTACCAAAATGTTTTTGTAGAAAGAATTAAAGCGCTCGTGTTCTCGTGTTTCTATGACAGCACTGTATAACAAATGTTCTCTTCATAAAAATCAACAACTTAAAGTGGGAAATTGAATTACATGCACCCTTGCAGGTCAATTTTATAAAAATTGCAAGAAATTGTGATAAAAAACTGGTTTTTTTTATAATTTGTTGCAAAAAAAGAGATTAAAACCGTTTTGAGATTTTGGCTACCGGTCTGTGTTCTAGCTAGAGATAAATATTAAGAGTTGTGTTTTATAGATAGTGTGCTTCCAGAGCGCTACACGCACCTTTTCTAGTTGCAATTTTAGCGCCGGGCACTTCATCTATATAATAAAGCTCTTTGCTAATATATATATATATATATGATACTTTTAGCGGGCCAAACAATTGGACCAAATTGGCTGAATGGAGAAAACCCATGGGTACCCTGGGTTTCTTTTTTTAAATTCCAGAGGCAATGGAAGGCAATTCTACTTATAGTCATCTATTTACAGATAAAGTAGTAATCTCTTTTTGTCTGTCTGTTGCATTCTTTGTTTGTATGTTTGTCCGATCACAACTCATGAACCAGAGGAATGTGGTCACACTACCTGGTTAAAAAAGTCTTAGTGAAGTGGGTCGAATTTTACAGGGAACACTCCAAGCAAAGCTGGTTTCACAAGCTAGTAGTTTATCTATATATCCGCTTGTTTGTTGATTTCTTTCTTTGTATCAAATTAACGTCAAAAGGGCTAAACTGATCAGAGCTGGGAACTTTTGAATGTGATATCCTTAATCCCGATCGGTTAATTAATCTGAGCTGGGAACTTTAGAATGGTGGATATCAGGATTAATGCTTGATCCTCTGTTTTTGCTAATCTCTAGACTAACATAATCTCGAGATTATGTTAGTCTTGAGATTAAATATTTAGATCAACAAATTGAATTCTAAGAACGCCAGATTGGTTCGTTTTCTCGACTGGAAGGGCCTTCACTTAATTTCTCACCCATTAATTTATTAATACATTAATACATTGGTTACAAAAGAATCTTAAACGTATTATTTAATATTTTTCTTCACCGACTAATTTACAAAATTGTAAACAACAAATTCTTTATTTGTTAAAATTGCGGATTTCTCTCATGGAATAGAATTTATTTTCAAGGCTGTCATTGGTCAATACAATTTACGAACTATATTCCTGCACTCTCATTGGAGAAAATAATGTACGGATATCCAAAGAAAGAGAAAAAGAGTGGACTAAGGACTAAAATTGAAAGTTTCCACAGTGGATACTCGGATTAATTAGTTGGGATTAAAGGTTATCCATTCTATAGTTCCCAGCTCAGGAGATTAATAAAAAAGGATGACAAGCATTATTTAATCTCGAGATTAAGAAAAAGAGGGGATCAAGCATTATCCACTATTCAAAAGTTCCCAGCTCAGGCCCAACTTTTGACAACACACATAACTCTATTGAATCTAGATTTAAGGATTCTGGGATCCACTAACCTTGATACTAATAAGTAGACTGGATCCACATCTAATTATCAATGCATCGAGTAGAAGAAGATATAAAGTACCTTTTATTTACCCCTCCTTAGCCTAAATTTAACCCTGTTTGATAGAAAGCATATTTAACCCTGTTAGATAGAAAGCATATTTAACCCTGTTTGATAGAAAGCATATTTAACCCTGTTTGATTGAAAGTATATTTAACCCTGTTTGATTGAAAGCATATTTAACCCTGTTTGATTGAAAGCATATTTAACCCTGTTTGATTGAAAGCATATTTAACCCTGTTTTTTATATAACTTACAATTTAACTTGGGAATTTTAAGTAAAAAGATGTTAAATTGATAAATATAAAGGAAGCACGTTGCAAGACCATCAATCTTAAATTGTAAAATGTATCATTCATGTAACCATAGAGAATAGAATATATATTAGAGAGGATTTTAAAGAATCTCTCTTTATGAATTTTTCAGTCCCTTTCAGCCTGAAAGGGAGTTCAAAGTGTACAAATCATGTAAATGTTTACAAATTATATGCAGTAGAGTACATTTAATACAGTATGTTCCCTAGACTATTCATTTCAATTCGAATTTTTTAAAGCCGTTAAATAAACTTTATAACGAATTAGGTGAATAAAAAACATCATTCGATTAATAGTTATAACGGAAAATCATCGTTTGTAAAGTGAAAGGCATAGAGTCTATGTGAAATGATCATTATTAGTCAATTATGAAACCAGCCTATTTCATAATTTGGTTTTCTTTTAACCATAATTTTTAGATTTTCTACAAAATGATATTCCAGGGCCCAAAAGGTTATATAGCATAAATATGTGAAGAACACCTTCAGTATGGAAACACTACAACAAAATGGCCGTTTACACTTTTTTCTAGTAAATTCCCCTCTAATATATATTCTATTCTCTTTGCATGTAACTGTTATATTTAGCCTCAAAAATTTGGCAAAAGATATTTAGTCAGAGGTCTTTCAGACCGAATTAACTTGGTCTTTTCGGACACAAATCTTATCCTTTTCTCTACCATTTAAGCAAAAAAGGTTTGAAAAATATTATAATACTGTACATTTTCTAATGTACTGTATTTGCTGTATACGGGAACAGTGTTCGGCATTGCCTGCACCATGATTTTGTCCTTTAACGTTCATCAACAATATATATACCCTTATTCTGACCCTGAGGATGACATCGTTGAATCCCTACCTCAGCTGCGTGGTTCATGTGATGAAAAAGGACAAGTGTTGTACTGTACTACTGAAGTTGAAGTTGGAAGAGGCGTTGTACTCTGATTTATTCCTCGGAGACTATATGGAAAACGTTGTTTTTCAGCCCTGAGCGGATGCTGAAACTATCTGGACAACGTTGTTTCCCAGTCTGAGCGGATTCTGATGCTATCTGGAGAACGTTTCCCAGCCCTAAGCTGATTCCTAAACTATCTGGAAAACATTGTTTCTCAGCCCTGAGCGGATTCTGAAACTATCTGGAAAACGTTTTTTACCAGCCTGAGCAGATTCTGAAACTATCTGGAGAACGTTATTTCCCAGCTCTGAGCGGATTTCTAAACTATCTGGAGAACGTTGTTTCCCAGCCCTAAGCTGATTCCTAAACTATCTGGAGAAATTTGTTTCCCAGCCCTGAGGGGATTCTGAAACTATCTGAAGAAATTTGTTTTCCAGCCCTGAGCGGATTCTGAAACTATCTGGAAAACATTTTTTTCCAGCCTGAGCAGATTCTGAAACTATCTGGAGAACGTTATTTCCCATTCTGAGCGGATTTCTAAACTATCTGGAGAACGTTGTTTCCCAGCCCTGAGCTGATTCCTAAACTATCTGGAGAAATTTGTTTCCCAGCCCTGAGCGGATTCTGAAACTATCTGGAGAAATTTGTTTCCTAGCCCTGAGCGGATTCTGAAACTATCTGGAGAAATTTGTTTCCCAGCCCTAAGCTGATTCCTAAACTATCTGGAGAAATTTGTTTCCCAGCCCCTGGAGAAATTTGTTTCCCAGCCCTGAGCGGATTCCTGAACTATCTGGAGAACGTTGTTTCCTAGCCCTGAGCGGATTTCTAAACTATCTGGAGAACGTTGTTTCCCAGCCCTGAGCGTATTCCTAAACTATATGGTAAACGTTGTTTCCCAGCCCTGAGCGTATTTCTAAACTATATGGTAAACGTTGTTTCCCAGCCCTGAGCGTATTTCTAAACTATCTCGAAAACGTTTCCCAGACCTAAACTATTTAAGGAGTGAATCTTGATAGATAAGTAGATCTACTTAAATAAACATTCTCGTATCAAGCTTTGATCTTGATGTAAAGATATACCCACGTGAACAGTGTTCCAACCACTTGGTCGATGCACCAAATGTAAGCCCTCTTTTTAAATTATGTTAAACTTTATGATTAATTGATGGTATTGCTTAAAAATTATTAAACCATGTTGGAACTGATTCACATTGTAATTTATTTTTCAGTCCGGCATTTGGCGTGGAGACCTAACTGCAAATTACGAGACCAATGCACAGACCCTGGCTTGGGAAGGTTTACGGATGGTTAAAATTTAAAAAGTTTGCCTAAAAATTTGAATTTTTCAAAATCCACGAAAAAAATCCGAATTTTTTTTGTTGTTGTTGCAGGGCGAGATGCGTTTGGTTTCTTCTTTTTGAATTTAATAATGTTCTGGTCTAAAATTTAACAAACTTTAAACTTACGGAGTTGTCTTTTTTAAACGCATATGCGACACAAAGTATTACAGAAAAGGCAAGAACAGGTTCGTTTGATAGATCAGAAGTCGTAGCTTGCTGAGATAAGGACCGAACTGTTAGATCCTCGTAGGGCGCGAAGCGTTCGTAAGTCAAACAGCCTAATACATTTCAAAGTTGTATCTGAGTGTGTGTCGGCCTGGGAGGGGGGGCGGGTTGTAAACCCAAGCTCAGAAAGTTTCTATCTAACTAACTAGGCAGAAAGTATTAAGTTTCTGGATCAGGTTTCTTAATTTACAGTGCAGCCACTGCAGCTTCAGTAGTGAAATGTATTTCCAGATTTAATGAAATCAGGCAAATTATAGATTTTCCTTTGCAATGTTTACCAGCATCCTTGCAGCTTTTATACGCTGCAAACCAAGATGTGAATGCTTTCATCTACATCGAGCTATATTTTGCCAATTACTTCTTTTAAACTTGACCCTATCACGATTGGGAGGGAGGGGGGGGGGGAGTGTTTTCCACCCCTTCCAAAGGTTTTTTCTAATTCACTACAAAAACGTCTTGCATTAGAACGGTAAGGGGGTAGTCTCCCACCTATACCTGTAAAGTGGGTGGGGCGTAGTCCCCCCCCCCCATTGAACTCAAAGCCATCAAACTTTTCAAATCTGAAACTGAAGAGTGAAGAGTATTAAAAAAAAATTTCTGCTAGCTATGTTTGAAGGAGAGATAAAGTAGTACTTGCACGGTAATTGGACTGTATGTGTACCTTTAAAGTATCCAAGAAGCCAAATGTTTTGATCTATCGGTTCAAATTTTGCCCTCCCCTAGAAGCTCTTAGAGAGGGGGGGGGGGGGCAAAAAAAATTTCGTTTCGCGGATATTTCCTTCCACGCCCCTAGATTTATTTCTTTATACGCCCTTGCACATGTTAACATTAAAAAAAATTATTTTTTTCGAACTTCTTTTGATGTATATTTTTGAACTTTCTAAAATTCCATCCTTTCACTATAACCATTAAAGTTCTAATCTTTTTTTTAACGAGCAGGCCTTAAAAGTTGGTCTATGAACAGGAACATATGTATCTCACTTCCCTATCTCAACTCTATTGCCAAAATCATAGGGGGGGGGGGAGAACCCTTTCGTCCCCCAAACGGAATAAGGTTCAGCAAAAAACAAGAGGGTTTTGCCTTGCTTAAATGTATTTGCCTAGGGCTGCAGAAAGGGTTTCATTAACTTTCAGAGTTGTTTATATCTCAGTGCAATAGTTTCAGATTAACTATATTATGTATTCTGAATTTGTACTTTTATTACTGCTGGGTTGTTCAGCCATAGTGTCAGATGCTGGACTAGTTGGACTTTTAGTCCTTATAATATCTCAGGTAAGGAGATTAACACTAATGGGGGGGGGNACACCTCTCTCTAGTCCTAGAGATGGGCATAGTTTTTTTTAATGAACGAAAATTTACAGAACGAACGAAATTTTTTTCGAACGAACGATTTTTCAGAATAAAAATTTTTTTCTGAACGATTGTTCAGTGAAAAAACGAACAAAATAGATGGAAAAATAACGCTTATTTTGAGAACGAACAAAATCAATTATTTTTTGAACGATTAAAAAAACGAAATGCGCCGTTCATGAACAATGAATGAACGAAATGAAAAAAACCGAACGCACCCCATCTCAATGGGTGTGTGCGAATGGACACAATTTAACAGTAGTGACTAAGTATACTAAGATATACTATGAGATCAGAGGCTTAACTTTTACTAATTGTTGTTTTATTCAGGGGTGTATTGTATACAGTAGCGCAACTAGGGGGGGGGGGGGGCGAACCGAACTTCGCCCCAGCCCCCCTCCGCAAATTTCCCCCCCCCCCCCCTCACTTGGCCCAGCATGATCACGATTGTGGACCATATTAAAAATACCAAAATTTCTGATAGAATTTTTAACTACTTTCTCGTTTTCGACTTAAGGAAAGTCAAGTCATTCTTAATTAATCCTCTCTATAAAAAACCTGTGTTAAAGTGGACTAATATGACTAGTGGATGAATTACACAAAAATTGCTGTAGACTGTAATAGGAGACTATGCATAGTGAATATGACTAAGCCAGTGACTAACAGACACTAAGAAATTGCTGTAGACTAATAGGGGACTTTATATGCATAGTGAATAAGACTAAGCCAGTGACTAACAGACACTGAGAAATACATGAAAAGACACTAGAAAACCCGAATTTTTGGCGCTTCAAGCGCATGTTTAATTTACTAGTGTCGTTCATTTTAAAGCTACTGGAAGAAAATTTGTTTATATACAAGAACAAGCCATGGATATTATAAGAAATAATATTTCATAACGAAATTATTGATATCCGCAAAACTGCCTAAACCCATCCGTGAAACCCAGGTTCCAAAACTGGGTTTCATAACGATACCCTTTCTTAAGTTTTGGGCTCTGAGCTCAAAACTTAAGACAGGGTATCGCTCAGGGAACAAGTATAAAGGGAAAGGAAATGGTGCTGGTCTGCCATGAGAAAGCTAGTCGCACTGTTTTGCAGACGGGTTCCTTATCACACGCACAATCTTTTAGTACAGACAGACACACACACATGACTATAGTCAAGGAAGGTGCAGAATAACGTCGTCAATTATAATTATGCTTGAATAACGAGTAGTTTATCGTAAACTTTAATCAAATTATATTCTTTGCATGAACAATTGTCTTATAGTGTTGACCTAAATATATAAATAATATATTACATGCATATTAAACTTATTTTTAAGTAAGCAATTAACAATAAACAATTGTACTCTCCTATAGACTGTACATTTACCGAGATTCTTCTGTACTATATGTACCAACCTAACAACGTATAGGTTCCTTATTACACACGCACACTCTTTTGGTACAGACACAAACGCATGACGTTTCCGCCCCCTGGTATTGTTTTGGAAACCAGTTTTGGAACCCGGGTTTCACGAATGGGGTTAGTCAGTTTTGTGTATATCAATATTTTTATTATGAAATATCATTATTTGGTTTCTTCATATTCTCATATTCTTTTTCGAATCTCTTAAATCAAAATCTACCCAAATTTTAAGGCCTCAAAAATGAAACTCGGGAGTTTCGTTCAACGATACTATTTTAAATTTCGGGCTCTGCAGTATGGAAACAGTAGAAAAAAATGGCAGTTTTACACTTTTTTCGAGGTAATTTCAATATATATTAATCTAATCTCTTTGTTTATATTCTTATTATATATAATTTCAGGCTGGATTTGCTTATGCCTTTGTTGCTTGTACAGCTCTACTGAACTGTAGGCTTAAATACTGGTAGGAAATGGAAGTTTTACCCGAAAGAACTATCTTATAGAAAGACGACTGTAACTTTCTTTAATGTCGTCTTACTCTCAAGGGCGGACACCATTGATGTTTAGTACAAACCTCTGAATGGGGGGATACCACGGGGTCAGCGTTCTATTTTAAGAATTTTTTATTCCTATTTTCAGATTTTTTTGTACTTAAAAAATCTTGCCTCTCCCTGGCTGAAATCCTGCATCCCCACTTAGTTACATTTGGAATTAAGGAAATCAAGTCTTAGTAATTTTTTACTATTTTAAATTTTCGAGTCCTGGTATTTTTTCCCCGGAGGCATTTTCTCTTCAGGACTTTGATTCCTGTGATCTTTCATCATTCTTGAGTCTTTGTTTGCAGTCTTCATTCTACTTAAAAAAGTCCTAGGCACCCAAAACCAAAGGGTTTATGTCTAGTGCCATTTTTTTTGGGGGGGGGGATTTTTTTTTCACTTTGACTTGACTTTAATAATTTTTGTTGAAATCTCTGAATATTTAGCCAATTTTTACAGGGATAGTTTGTGTTCTGGAAAAGATACTGCTTGGACTGACCTAGTTGAGTACTTTACTGCTGGTGGATTTACAGGTAGGACTGGGCAAAGTTCCATTCATGAAACGGAGGGTTTCAAAAATTAACGAAAAAGTCAGTTAACGAAACTGCAAAAACCGTTAATTTTTAAATCATTAAAGAAACAGATTAGCCGATTTTTAAATGGCTAATGCTGTTAATAAAATTGAGATTGTTAACAAACGGTAACTTAAAAAATATTGTTAACGAAACCAATGTTCGGTTCTTACCTTAAAAACTAACAGCTACCTGAATTTTTTGTAACAGTTGGAACTAACAGTTAACAATACGGTTACAAAAAGTTTGAATGTTCCTAGCCCAATTTATAGGGATGATACTGATACTGCTTGCTGTGAGACACACTATATTTCTAGCTATAGGGGTAGTATGTACAGCAGGACTCTACTATGCTGGTCAAGATCGGTAAGGATGGGCAATGGGCATCTATATATGTATATAATTCTTCATCTGACCGAGCCACAAATTTTAAGACCTCATTTGTACGTCTGCAAAAAATTGATGTTTTAATAAAATTAAATTATTTGTAGAAACTCTTTTCCGGTGGAAAATTTTACGGAATTTCCGGCTTCCGGCAGAAATTTTGATGGAAAATTGGACATTTTGGATTGAAATTAAATTGAAAGTTGAAATTTTTAATTAAAAACTATAGTTTATAAAAAAGATGCCCATCCCTACAGAAGAAGAGAGTGCTCCAGCTGTAATCATCTGCAGACTGGGGAAAATATTCTAGATTATATTCTTTGTCTATTTGACGAATATACATTTCATGAATAGATTGCCGAATACATTTCTAGAATAGATTGCCGAATACATTTCTAAAATAGATTGCCAAATGCATTTCTAGAATAGATTGCCGAATACATTTCTAGATTGCCGAATACATTTCTTGAATAGATTGCCGAATACATTTCTAAAATAGATTGCCAAATGCATTTCTAGAATAGATTGCCGAATACATTTCTAGACATTTCTAGAATAGATTGCCGAATACATTTCTAGAATAGATTGCCGAATACATTTCTAAAATAGATTGCCGAATGCATTTCTAGAATAGATTGAATGTATTTAAAGAATTTTAATTTTACCTATTTAATATAATAAAAGTTTAAAAATTTACTATTGTTTAGCCAGTCAATCAAAACAACCAGAAATGGTTAGTCTGTAGCCCTGGCTAATAATTGTTTAGTAAAAAGTTATAAAATGTAAAATGTATTTATTATAATGTTAGCCGAAATATATATATATATATCTATCTATCTATCTATCTGCCTACTAATTAAGGTTTCAATCGGAGATAAATTTTCGCGCAATTCTTTGCAAAGTATCAGGTTGTGCAAACTATTATAGTAAACTTTCATTTCATGGACAAACTGCACACCTAATACTAATTTGCGCAAAACAATAATTGTATTCTGCATTGTTGGAATCATCTGCATATACTTGCTGGGCCCTGGTTTACATTGTTTAAACTCTAGAAAATATTTATAAGAAACGAGTTAAAAAATGTTAATCTATATAAGTGAAATTATTTAGTTTTAGTATGATACAAGTGTTACCCTTCAAACAGATGGATTATAAAACTTGCAATATACCGATATATATATATATATATATATATATATACCGATATGCAAAATAATTAACAAAGCCATTATAAGATAATATCAGTCTTCAGATCAATAAAGCTACAGGGTGTCCAAATCAACAAGAGAACTGAGTAATACCTTTGTTACAGTGAGAACAAGAAAGCTGTGGAATAGGAAGACGACTTATAGTGTTTAGTTATGATTTTAGTGTGCAGGTACACAAACTCATATCATTCGATACAGTTTTTAAGCTAGTTTAGTGAAACAATTTTCTATACAACAACATTCATGCACTAATTGCATTAATGTCGTCTTCCTATTCCAAAGTTTTCTGGCTCTCACTGAATTATTTAGCATTGTAATATCTAATTTTAAGAGATGTAATAAAATTACGTCGATGCTAGATAAAATTGTATGTAAATGGTAATAGGAAGCCTACTTTGTTATTCTGGCAAAGTGTATATGATGATGTGTGTCTGTGTAATATATTTCTACAAGATAAACAGCTGCAGATAACTTTATTTTGTTTGCTCTCAGGAGTAGGCATCAAGCTGCATTCACCAACAATCATAATCTAGATAAAAATTACTTTGTCTGATTATTGAGAAAAGAGATCACAGTGTATATATCTCTGAAATGCTAAGTAAAAAGCCATAAAATTTGAGTGTATGCTAGCGTACAGTGTGAACTCAACATGGATGACGTCATATTTATTCCTGGAAATTAAGAATGGTCTTTGCCCACATAAGTTTCAAAAGTTAGAATGTGAATATTTATTTATATTCTGTCACTTCTAAAAAGTAAATATCAATATTCCACAAATGTAAAACAGATTGAAAAAAATTCATGTGTTTCTGTAAATAAATAATTGGAAAAGTCGGTCATCCTTGATCAGTCAAAGGTTTAAAGGGTACCGCTGTGAATCAGGGAATGCCCCTTTTTTAATGAAAGGTCACTTTAAGTTACGCTAAACCAAGGTTATAATGCAAGGAAAGTTTATTGCAGTTGCGCATACTCTTCATAAATATTGAAACCAGTTCTCTTTGGCCGGAATTTGTAAACAAGAATAGATGCATCAGTGTTCGTTCAGTATCCGAGGAGGTTAAATCATTTGATTTTGATCATTTTGATAATTCACATAATAGTTTCCTATGAACAGAATATTTCATTGATTTTTTATGTGAAAGAGGATTCCATGTCAGGCTTCAACGTCCGTCTTGTGTTTACATTACTGCCCAGAGACAGTACACTGCAGTACAAAAGATGCGTACACCCCTGAAATAACTTCCCTTTCATTATAACTTTGCGCTAAACCAAGAAATATAGTGACCGGGAACCGCCATATCTGATGCATCAAATATGCATGTACTGCAGTGGGAGGAGATCAAAACAAAGAATTCAGGGACAACGCATCAGTTTTGAGGGCAAAGGGCCCAAGGAGTGGAATAAGAATATATTGCTATTGTTTTTTCCATAGTGACCAAAAAGCCAAAAATCATAATTGACTTAACATCGAGGGTGGAAAACTTTGTGTGTTTTCTCTAAAATGGTGTTCAAAAATTTGAATGTAAATATTTATTTTATATAAGAAAGTGAATATTAATAATTCTTATATATGAAACAGAACACCGTGTTTAACAATTACAAGTGTTTCTGTAGATAAACAAGGAACACATTCTTGATCAGTAAATCAGGTTTAGGGGGTACTGAACACATGAAGGGTCTTATGGAATTACGCCTACAATCCCTTTATAAATGAATGCCAAACCCTACTTTAGGAGGAACAGGTTTCCTAGGCTGCTCTACGACCCAGGGAGTTTGTATGTCTGCTTGTGTTAAAATGACAATCTGACCCTGTACAGTGTTTAGAACGTACTGCATGTGCAATCGAAGATGGTTCTGTAATCTGTACTATGTATAACATTTATTTAAGAATGTTGTGTACTGCTGATGACAAAATGAGTAAACAGGATATATTTGCGTTGATGTGGTTTATTTGCACACTTTTATTAAATTTTAAAATATTTGATATTATGAAAAAACTCATACTAAACCTTTGATCTTTCTATTAGAGACATTATTTTGTTAACTTTTGTATTGTAAATACCTTTATATAACACAGAGATAAGAGAGAACATAGATCTAATGGTAGAATTTGTGATATTTTCTACAAAATGACCCTTAAAGCCTCCTGATACGCAGAATCACCTCAAGGCCTTGCATCTTGCTACATCTCCAAGCCTCAACATTTTGATCCCAGCTTCCTGTGGTGATTTTATCTTTGTCTTTTCTGGCTCAACAAACCAAAAATCGAAATATATTCTAAGACTGAAAGAGCTTAATTGTAAATATGTCTGTAGTCTATGATCGCAGTATAGGGCCTCGTGTATAGTTGTATTCAAGATATTTTGTCCGTTGGATATGAAACAAAGCTCCTCCAGAAATCATGTTATGAACTTGTGGAATACCCAAGCCAACGTTGACCTTATGTTTTATTTTAAACCCAGGCCAATGATCTGGCTCCAAGAGATGGCAAGAATAGGATTTGTCAGGCTGAAGCCAAATGAGGCAGTAGTATCAACGAAGAATCAGAGGAGGGAAGTTCAGAGGCGCAACTAGGGGGGGGGCGGCCGGGCGCGCGCCCTCCCCTAGCACCTGAGAGGGGGGCGCCCCCCCCCCTGCACAATGAAAAGAAAGAAAGAATGGCGAAAATCACTATCACAGGAATACGAAAACCAATAGAGTTTTTGTAGAAATTATATTATACTATAGTTAGTTTTAAAAAAAATATTTTTATCTTTCTCAATTCTCATTGTAAACATTTAATGTAAAAAAAGTTCTGAAGTCAAACTTTGAATTCTTTTGGTAAAATATTCCAAGTTTGAAATATCAAATGTTTACACCACTCGGTGCAAAGATTTAGGGATTAGAATATTTAAGTTTGTGGCAAAAACTCAAATGAATTGACTCATATTATTCATTTTACATCTGTTGGAAGTGTAAATTTTGTAAAATCACAAGAACAAAAAATCGATTTGAATTGAAGACCGCCAAATCTGCATGCAACAACTTAAAATTTCCTTTTTTCGACTTCAAACCCTTAAAAAAGCACTTTTGTTTTTGAAAAATTTTCGAAAAGGGGGGGGAACCACCCCTTAACCCCCCCAGACCCTTACAAAATAATATATTCCCCCCCCCTAGCAAAAGTCCTAGTTGCGCCTCTGGGAAAGTTGATCTGTCATGTGAGGCTGAAGAAAGGAGGAAGAAAGGTGTGAATAGTTCCGACTTAATTCTAATAAGTGAAGTATTAAATAGTATCTGTTTTTTTTTATGCTGTAAATACATTTCTTCTTACGCTTTGTGGACTCATTCATTTCAGTTCAAGGCTTCAACTCTTAATTGTAACAATATCTCTTCAAAGTATAAATCCACAATATTTTATAGAATCGTTTAATCCACCAAAGTTAAAATATTAATTCATTCAATTAATCTAAAACTTTTTTCTTGTGAAAAGTTTACACAAAGCATACAATATAAACACAAATTCAAATATTTCACAAAAACTTTTTTGTTTTGTGAAGTTGAAGAAGATACACCTAGCTGTAAAATAATATAGTAGTTCTTTATCTTGATATATAAATATATAAAACGGCAGTAACTATTAATTTAAGGAATGTATTAAAATCTCAATTTAAATAGACCTTTCAGACCAAATTGTTTATGTCTCACTGAAAACTATCTTATCATGTAGAGATATATAATTTTATTTTGTAGATGTAAGGCCATATTTTTTATTGAAGACCAAAATGCAGAGCATGGTCATTTCGTGGGGCTCTCCCTTCCTCCTCAACTTGGTTCCTTCTTTTGTTTCTTTGCTATTTACTGGGTTGTATTAAAACTGTCCTGCACTATAGTTAGCTCTTGTTCAGAAACCGATGTTGAGAGAAGAAAAACCTTGCCATTTATCTTCCCATTATATAGTTTATCCTGAAACCAGAAAACATGGAAACCAAAGTAGGGTTTCCAACTATTGTGTAGGGTTTACAAGTATCGTGCAGGGTTTACAAGTATCGTTTAAATTATTTTCATTTCACGTAATTTCACAGAATTACATTTATGCGTAATAAGCGAAGTTTAAATTTCGCAAAGTTACAGCTTGGTAATTTTGCGAAATTATACAATAATTACGTGAAAATTAGAGAAACTTCAATTTCGTGAAATTCTGACGTAATTTTGCTTATTCCTTTATAGTAATTTCGCGAAATTTTGCATAAATTACGCCTAAACAGCCAAACTTCAATTTTGTGAAATTATGGTGTAGTTTTGCGAAATTTCGCAAAATTAGTGAAACTTCAATTAAAAAATTTACGCTGCAATTTTGGGAAATTTTGCAATTAACGTGTCTATTAGAAAAATTTAAATTTCACGTAATTACGACAAAATTTTGTAAAATTTTGAAGTATTAACTTTTAGATTTAAATACAATAATTAACTTAATAGAAAAGTAATGTCGCTCAGGTTAATTAGAACTTTTAAACCATACTTTGTTATTATAATTTTCACGTTTGACAATCAAATTAAAGTTTAATAAAGGGCCAAAAATTTATTTTCATAATCAAATCAAATCCATAAACTAGAAATTTTCCTCAATATTAAATAACTTTCT